AGAAATACTGTATGATATAACTTATACGGGAATCTAAAAAAGCCAAACTTGTAGAAACAGTAGAATTGTGGTTACCAGTGGCTGAGGGATGGGGGAAGTGGGGAGGTGTTATTTAAGGGTACAAACTTGCAACTATAAGATGATTAAGGTCTATGGCCATGCCACCCTGAACGTCTGATCTCGTCTGATATCAGAAGCTAAGCAGAGTTGGGCCTGGTTAGTACTTGGTTGGGAGACCACCTAGGAATATCAGGTGCTGTAGGCGTTAAAAAAAAAAGGATTACGTTCTGGAGATCTAATACTTAACATAGTAGTCAACAATACTATATTATAAACTTCTAAGTTGCTAAGTGACTAGATCTTAACTGTTCTCACTGCATAAAAGAAATGCTAACTATGTGAGGTGATGGAGGTGTTAGCTAACATCATAGTGGTAATCATATTGCAATTATAAATGTATCAAATCAGCAATTACACAATGTTATATGTTAATTGCATCTCAATAAAAACCTATTAATGTAATCTATCATATCAATAGGCTAAAGAAATTAGTAAATACTTAAAACTGAATGAAAATGAAAATGCTGCATATCAAAACTATGGCAATCAACTGTGTATTGAGGCAGATGTGCAATTCTAAATGCATATTATAAAAAAAAGTTAGAAAACAGTAAATTATATCCAATAAGAGCAGATCTAAATAATAAAGATAAAAGTCAAAAATAATAAAACAAAAATATAACAGAGATTCAACAAAACCAGTAATTGATTCTTTCAGAAGACCAACAAAATTGGTGAGACTAACCAAAGGAAACATGTCATAAGTAACCATAACCTAGAAAAAAATGAGATATCACTGTAAATCCTGCAGCTCTTGTTGCAGAAAAGTCAGACCGGCGAGAAACCAAGCACCACTCAGAGACCTGGAGAACCCAGGTTTATTACGCCAGTGGTCCCAGAAGATCTAGTGCTCTGAAGATCTGGGCCCCGAGCTCAGGGATAACCTTACTTTTGTAGGGATTATCTGCACAGTTACACTTGGCATGGGCCAATTGGTTAATTTGTCCTCAGGCAGTTTCAGAGAGAGGGAATTGCTATGGGTTATGGGCAGTTACAGAGCATGAGATTTTCAGACAGGAACTTAGGCAATACATCTGTTATCTAGACAGAACAAGCAAAGGGGAGGGTGAGTCTTCAGTTGATCTCCAGTTTACCCTGACCTTCAGCCTATGTGGCAAGCATGTCTACAGAAGCAGAACAAAGAACTGATTACAAGGTTAGCCATTTGAGTGGAAAATTCCTCTTTACTCTGACAAAGATAATAGAGTATTTATTATTATTATTATTATTTAGCCAAGGTAACCTTTGGTTGACCTCACAGATTGCAAGAAACTTGTCAGCTTACAATCCCTTATTTTTTTATCTTTTATACCTATAGCACCTAGTCTTCCTAGGTAGTCTCTCATCCAGGTACTAACCAGGCCTGACCCTGCTTAGCTTCTGAGATCAGATGGGATCAAGCTTGTTCAAGGTAGCATAGCCACAGACACTGACAATCATGTCAATAATGTTGACAAAAATAAAATACAGAATCTCAGAATTGCAGAATTTAAAGTGATAATGTAGCCTAAAAGTTTTCTGACTTGTTATTTCTTTGTGAATCTGATAGAATCTATAATACTTTCTCTTGAAAATACACACATGTATAATATATGCATATACATAATATTTTATACATAATTTCAGTCGTTTCATCATATGTATTTCATCCAATCCAGGTTATTTGGTAGATAAAACTCTAAGGCAGAAAAAGATGAAGTGACATGGCTGGTTAGTGGAAAAAAACAAAACAAGTATTGCAGACTCTTAATTTCTAAACCAGTCATTATTCTCTCAAATGAAGTATTTTTTTTCTCTTCATCTGTGTTCCCATCTGTGTACTGATGCTGTTCACATTGAATTCTCATATAATTCTGAACTTATCCTTTTGCCTACTTGAGAGAAAACTTTGGCTAATATGCTGACTCCCTTTTAAAATAATAGACCTTTAATTACTCCATATTACTGTTATTTGACTATATGCATTATCTTTCCAACTACATTTTAGGGATTATGGTTTCCCCAAACCACCTATCTAAATGCAAGAAATACATTCATTATAATCATTCATTGAATTAAAAGGACAAATATCTTCATGATAGAACTATATCCTATCATAGTGTTATAGTGTTATTGGGAACCCAGAATCTGGCACCAGACTGACCTAAATATGAATTCAGCCTCGGCCATTTACTAGCTGTATGTTGCAGGGTATATCACTTAATCTGCGTCTCACTCAGTAAATCTGGTATGGTACCAAACACACTTCATAAGATTATTGTGAGGATTAAAGAAACTAATTTATGTGAAATATATTGAGCATTGTCTTGCACATAGTAAAAACTCAGAAAGTAGCTTTGATTGTTGTTATAGCATAATCAACCTTGAATTAAAACACAGTTGGAGGAACACAGACTTAGAAGCTTAGAATCAGACTGGTCAGCCAGTCCAAATGATTCAGAAAATTTTCATACATTATTCTAACAGATTCTGCCTTTGTTTAACCTATCCTGGTGACAGGGAACTCATTAAAACTGAGTGAAGCAGCTCCAGTTGTTTCAAAGTTCTTCCTTATTATCGGGTTAAATCATACAAAATTGCTGTTGATAGGTCAAAATGATTGAATTATCAATAAGTTCTAATAAAAGTGACCAGAAATTTGCTTTTCCGTAATTTCCTCTCATTTTAGTTCATCATCTACTCTCTCCTTCTATATGATATTCCTTTAGAGGTAATGTACAAGATAAACTTAGCTCCTGCCTTCGGAGAGGCTCACATGCTTGTCAAGGAGACAAGAAAATAACAATTATGTATAATTTTTAATCTCAAGGAGATGGAAGAGGAATATTTCAAACAAAAGGCTTAGCAAAGCAAATTCCAAAGAACAGAGACATGAGGAATTGAGAGTTTAGAGCAGCATTGCCCAATAAAACTTTCTGGGATGATGAAAACATTCTATATTGGCATTGTCCAATATTATAGCACTAGCCACACACAGCTACTGAGCACCTGAAATATGGTTAGTGTCATGTGACTCAGGAAATGCAATTTTTATTTAACTTAATTTTAATTAACTTAAATTTAAATAGCCATGTGTGGCTAGTGGCTACCAGCTTAAACAGGGCAGGTACAAAATAAGAGGAGACAGGGAATCACATGATCAGATATCAGTTGTAGAAAGATAATTCTGTCTGTGTTGTGAGGACTGGAGAGGGGTGGAGACATTGACTTGTCTTTAGGAGCTTGCTCTATGAGAAGAGAGAAAGGAACAACAGAAAAGTGACTCAATGATATCTCAAAGAAACAAAGAAGTATATAACTAATTACACCCAGTGATATAAAATACTCACACACATATTTATGTACCCTGTATACAATATTTGTTCACAATAATGATCCACATTTCTTGTTTTTTTTCTTAGTTGCTCACAGGACTTCCTAAGTGTTTCAGAGTGCTCCCAAGAGTACCCAAGCTCACAGATAAATCCACCATTAAAGTATCTGAGCAGCATCCACCCTGTTCTCTCTCCTTTGTGCATATTTCACTCTGCTCTTCTCATGGTTCTTGCCACTGAGGCTATTTTTGATGGTTGTCATGTCAAAGACCCTGATGCTCCCAAAGCCATTAATTCTAAAGTGCCAGAAAGACACTCTGTTCTCTGCAGGAAGAGAAAGAAAGACCCCACTTCAGCAAACTAAGCCACATTGCTTGGCTCACCCTCCTTTTGATTCTGAGATCACTTTCTTTAACTAGATTTTTCAGGCTTCCCTGCCCTAATCCCTTTAAGCCTTACTACCTATGGAGCAAGACAAAACAAAACAAAATGAGAGTAGTAAGTACCCAGGAACTACCATTGGGTCCCTCCTAAAGAATTTTGTCTCCTTGTTTCTAGGAACCAATAAATACACATGCATGTACATCACAACCCCTCACCTGTTCTCTAACACACACCACATGAAAGCACACACACCTTATGCAATAGACCTCTTTAACTCCTAACATTTAAGCTAACATAGTCATACAAAACTGAATTCTCTTCAGAATCAGCCAGCACCATCCCTATTCCATGCACATTCCTGCAAAAGAAATGGACAAAGAAATATAATAAGCAATCACAACCCAAAAGCCAGATATAATGTGTACAGAGCTGGAGCAATAGCATAGCATAATGTGAAGAGGATGGACTTGACTTTGGTGTCAGACTGACCTGGATTCAAATCTTGGTCACTTTTACTAACTGGGGTGGTCTAGGGCAGATTACTTAACCTCTGCGAACTTCTACTTTTAAATTCATAAAATATCTACTTTGGAAATTGTAAAATTAGAAATAGCATATGGTACCAAGAAAGGGTTCAATAAACAGAAGCTACTATTACTACATTGGTACAAGAGCACCGAAAGCTCAGGGTGCCACAGACCTTGAGAAGGGGACACAGAGTAAAGGCCAGAGTGCTACCACATCCTCATGCAAAAAGCATCTTGGGATCGTATTAGATTACAGCCTAGAGATCACCTAGTGAAGACACTGAAGTCAGAGACAAGAAGTAAGTTGATCAAGGTCACAATGCAAATTAATGACAGAATCAGGACAAAATTCCAGGTCTGTCTGGAAAGGTTCAGCCCAATGCTCCTTTCTATAAGATGGCAACCTCTCAGCAGTCCAATTTCACTCTGATGTGACAATCAGTACTCCTCCTTTGCACCCAGGGCATATCCTCATGACGCGAAAGAAAAAGAGCAGGTGAAATAGGTTTCTAGTGGCTATTAGGCAGCATAGACATCCCGTCGCTATGGCAACCCAAGCTTGGTTGGGGAGGATCCACTCCTCCGGTGCCCCCTCCCATTCACGCAGCGGACGTGACACGTGCGACAGGGTCGCGTGTTGTTGTTGGGCCGTGAAAGCTGCTTCCGGGTCAATGCAGGACACAGGGCTTCTGCGGGCCGAATTGGGGACGAGGTGAAGCGTAGCGGGTCCAGGGTCGGTCGGGAGCAGGCCGGAGGCTGAACGGCGACCACGGCGGTGGCCGGGAGGGGGGAGGAGAGGCGCAGCCCGAGGAGCCGCCGCAGCAGCTCCCCGCCTCCCGGGCTGAGGGGGTGAGTGGAGCCTGGGCCTGCCGGCACCGTCGGGTTCTCGCGGCCCGAGGCGCGGAGGGCCACTGCTGCGGGGCGCAGTGTGAGCAGACACCGGGAGGATCTCGGAGCGGGACGAGGCCTGTCTGGGAGAAGGGAATGGATGGGACACCAGCCTGGGGCTCCAGGGAGAATGGGCTTCGTCTGGCCGGAACAGGAAAGGCCTGGGACTGGGAAAGAGAGTCCAGCCCTGGGTCGGAGAGCCAGACTGAGTTCCAGGGGCTTGGCGGATGGGAAGATGCCCCCTGGCTGGCGGGAGATGGAGAAGAGTCTGGGGCTGGTGGGTGGGGAAATGGGAAACTTGTCTCTGAACCACTGAATCAAATAAATAAATAAAAATTAGTAGACGTGTCCACTGGGAGGTTCGGCGTGCGGGCCTTCGTAGGCTCTGTGGACATTAGACCTGCGCCTTCCATGGGCTGCTAAAAGGATGCGGTAGTTTAGTAAAGGCTTTCGGGAGAATCATTTTGCCCC